CATAGCATCCAGGCGTACATGGCTCCAAACTCGAACTCGTAGGCCTGGTTCTGGGAGCAGGAGGTTGGGAGGAGCTCATGAGGCAGGAGACCCTTGGGGCTACCTACTGCAGGAGGAACTGGGGCCCTTGCCCAGCCTGTGGCAGCTTCTCAGACTGTGCCTTCGGGGCACAAGGAGGCAGCAGATGCCCAGGCCTCTAGTGAAGGGGTTAGACTGCATGGAGAGGCCACCAGAAAGGGACACTGTGCACACCCAGGTCTCCAAGACACAGGGATTGCGGTCCGCGGTCATGAGGCAGAGTTGGCCTAAAGAGAGCTGTGGAGTGATTCCCGGACTTGGCACGAGACCAACACAAGCCCAGCCCCTTCTGGCCAAGCTCGTCTGGATCAGGTTGGGCCTCTGCAAAACAGAGACACTAACACTGCTGGTCTCACACGGGGACCATGATGATGAAACAGAATATACTTGACCCTCTCACAGCACCCACCAAGGCAGAGGGAGTAGGAGAAGCCCCCACACCACCTAATTTAGGGAGTGCTGGCACAAATGCTACAAATGCAAAATGCCTTTGATACCTGGGCTCTGCTAAGAACACGAGCAAAATAGATGCCCAAGAAAAAGGCAGTCGTGGGCTGTGCTCTCAACCCCACCCTGCCCGTTCTTTGTGCTGGGGATGGAACCCAGGGCCTGGAGCTTCCTAAGCAGTGCTGTACCAGAGAGTGCCAGCTGGGGCCCAGGAACCTGGGGACTTTGGGTGTATGGACGGATGGATGCAGCCAAAGTGGTCACAGTGGAGAGAGCCTCGAGCTTTCTCCTCCAGCTCTGAATTAAGGACCCATGTTGTAGAGAAGCTCCTAGCAGAGGGGACCCTGGCCCAGGTGTGAGAAGCAGGGGTGGGCAAAACCTGAGCCAGGTAGAAGTGAGAGCCCTGGGGGGGTCAGAGGGAGTCAGAGGAGCCACCTGCTTGATGTTCCTGCGGTCAGCAGCTGTCCTGGCCATGACCATGCGGAAGGTGTAGAGGATGAGGCCCGGCAGTCGCAGCAGCTCCATGCCACTGCCGATGAAAGCTGAGGCGATCACGTAGTTCACGAAGAAGGCTCCCTGGTCCGGCAGGAAGACACACCTGGGGACAGGGCCGGTATGTGAGCCAGGAGCCTCTTTCCCACTGAAGGGAGGCAGGCACCTGAAGCACTCTGCCATCACACGTGATCTGAGGCACACAGACACACACTGTGCCTGGCCACAGAGGAACTCCACAGTGGGGGATGCTCAC